AAATAAAATTTAAAAAAGAAATACAGCTATAGCCACCCAGGCTCCCCCTGGAGGTCATATGGGAGTATCTGTGCATTCTTCTCACAAATAGTTACTCTACATCCTGAATGCTTGAGAGAGAGTGGAGCTAATGCTCATGTGCAGCATGATTACCTGAGATCAACTAGTCTTACCCATTGGCACACTGTGTTAACATCTTTCTGTAAGCATTAGCTAGTAGAAAAAAAGTCTCCCTCATTCATAAGTTTGAACCCGAGATACAAAATATGCGTACTAGTTTCAACATGAGATAATCATGGTTTCAATGTCAGCTCTCAGACCTCACTGCATCTGAGACTCTAGGATGACAACCCCAATGATGCTATTGACTCAGGCTGTATTTTCTTGACATTTTTATCCCTAAGTGTACCCACACTGATAACTCTTCCTGACTGGTATATTTAACTGCTTGTCACCTCCATTGGGAAATCTAATAGACACCTCCTACCCAGTGCATCCACTTGTTTTGTTTTGTATTGTTTGAGACAACTTCTCATGGAGCCCAGGCTGACCCTGAACTCTTTATATAGCTGAGCGTAACCTTGAATTCCTGATTGTCCTGCCTCTAGCTCCCAAGTGCTAGGACCATGGCATCTGGCTTTCCATTGGAGCTCTTGATCCCTCATTACCATGCCACAGTGACAAACTTGCCCCTCCCATATTCTTCCTAATTTTATCAATAGCGGTCCCTCTTACTCACTTGCTCAGAGCAAAAATACTGGTGACACCGAGTCCTCTTTTTCTCACACAGCTTCTTCTACCAGCAACTTCTCGCCGACCCTGTCTTCAAAATACATTCAAGATGCAACACTTTTCCTCCACTTTGGCTGTCACCGGTTTATTCCAAGCTAACCTGCGTTAGTAATAGCTTTCAAACTGTTCTCCTTGTCTCTTTCTATTCTTGTCCTCCACACCAAAATCTAGAGAACCCATTAAATGAGAGACAGCTATCATTCCTTACTCGAAATCCTCCAAAGCTATCCCACCCTACAAGGAAATGAACGTCCTTAGTAGAGCCTCCAAGCCCATGCCTGATATGACTTCCTCTCACATTACCCCATATCCATCCTACTCCTGCAATACTACAATACATTCTACTCTGCAATAACTGCATGGGCCTCCTTGTTACTTAAGAATGATCCTCCTCAGGGGATAGGAGAGATGTCTTAGTGGTTAAGAGCACTGGCTGCGCTTGTAGAGGACCCGGGTTCAAATCCCAGCACCCACATGGTGGTTAATGATCCATGACTCCAGTTCCAGGGGATCCAGCATCTTCTTCTGACCTATGCATGCACTGCATGCCATGGGTGCACTTATACACATGCAGGCAATCTACTCACACACATAAAAAAATAATAAAATATTTTTTAAAAAGAATGATCCTGCTTGGACGGTCCTTCTTTGTTTTTCCCCTAACCAGAAACCATAAATTGCGTGTCTCACTTTCTCCCTGGGGGCTGTTGTGACCACGCCATCAGCAACAGCACCATTTTGTGTGATCTCCCAGAGAAAGTGTAAGCTTCACAAAGCCAGGGATGGTTTCCTTCAGTCCTGCTCTCAAGAATGCCAGGCACATAGCAAGAACATAATAAATAGGTGTTGGCTGGCAGGATGAATGATGGTCAGAGGTCAAGGAAGGCTGTGTCTCATGTGCAGCAGCAACTGGGAAGCACGAAAGATGCCGTAACACCTACGTCTGCTTTCCTGACCCTTTCCAGGTCTGCATTAGAAAGTTGCTGAATCTGAGGTTGTGAAAGTAGATAAAGAGAGCTGTGAACATAATGAAAGTATTTTAAAATTGGATTATGGTGACTATTACCTGACTGTATATATTTACTGAAAATTATCAAATCATAGTCTTATAATGAATGATTTCAAAGGTGGGTAAATTATAACTCTGTAACAAGAAGAAGAAAGATATGGGGGGAGAAAAGAAGAAAAGAAGGACTCAGAATTAAGCGTGTCCAGACCTGAACATGGACATCCATTCTTTTCCCCAAGATCATTTAGCAAGGACTAAATCTCAGAGCTGGCTAAATTATGGAGGCATAACTAGCTTTCTGCTTTCCCTCATTTCTACCCAACAGGCATAAACGTCACTGTGAATGCGGCTTTCATCTACTCCGACGGTCTGATTCATAGCTCAGGGGACTGCCGAAGTAGCACATGTGAAGGCCTTGACTTACTCAGGGAAATTACAGTAAGTGTCTGCTTTTTCAGGTGTAGTCCATGACCTCTCCGTCTGGGATGATCACAGTGTGCAGTGTAGGTATGTGCTCATGAAGGGCCTTGCCCCTCATCTGTAGAAATGCAGCTGTGTGACCTGAAAGCTGACACACTTCCCCAGGGACAACTGCCCCCCCCCGCCAGAAACCCACTATATACCATCTGTACACAGTCGTACAGGGGGGATTTTTTATTTTACATTGACTTTAAAACTTTTAATTTTTTATTTATTAATTTTTAAATTTTGTGTATGAGCATATTGGCCACATGTATATAAGTACACCCATGTCATACAATGCCTGCAGCGGTCAGAAGATGGTGTCAGATCCCCTGGGTCTCTCTTTATCTCACCATGTGGGTGGTGGGAATGGACCCCGGGTCCTCTGCAAGAGCAGCCAGTGCTCTTAACCACTGAGCCATCTCTCTAGCCCCAAACTTTTAAGATTTTTGGTTTTATTATTTTTAGTGTACTTTAATTAATTAATTAATGATTATAATGTATGACTTAAATACCCTACGCTCACCAATAGTCAGGTTACCTGACAAAAAAATTGAAAAAAACAAGGAAACTATCATAGTTAAAAGACATCATCGATCAAATGGATCTAACAGACAAGGACAGAACATTCCATCCTAACAGTACAGAATGTATTCTTCTCAGCAGCCCATGAAACTTTCTCTAAAATAGATCCTGTATTAGTATACAAAGTTAACTCTCAACAAATATAGGAGATAGAAGTTTGGAACAACTTCCTGTATTCTATCTGAATACTAGAAACCAACAACAAGAGAAACTACGGAAGAGACAAACTCATGGAGATTGAACAGCACAGTGCTGAATGATGAATGAGTCACAGGCAAAATCAAGGAGGAAGTAGAAAAGTTCCTAAAGTCAAATGAAAATTAAAATACAACATACTGTCAGGCGTGGTGGTACACGCCTTTAATCTCAGCACTCGGGAGGCAGAGGCAAGCGGATCTCTGTGAGTTCAAGGCCAGCCTGATCTCCATAGCAAGTTCCAGGCCAGCTGTGGCTACAGTGAGACCCTATCTCAAAAAGACCAATAAATAAATAAATAAATAAATAAATAAATAAACAAATAAATAAATGAATAAATAATACAACATACCAAAACCAATGAGATATAATGAACACATTCGTAAGAGGAAAGTTCATAGCTGTAAATGACTACATTAAAAAAAAAAATCAGTGACATTACAA